CAATTTTTATATTAATAGCTGGGTTTAAAGTCACAACGACTCTTTAAAGGTCATATGACGCCTTGATATGGCGCTTTTAAGGTCATTTGGCGACTTTTATGTCATTTGGCGACTTTAACTAGTGGAGTAAGACTTCAGATACCTCTCTATGCATTATTTAATGCACAACTGGGCACCTGAGTAAAGCCACTGACATTTCGTTAGCTATCTGATTATAGAATCAAAATTAACTGGCGGAATGCAAACCACAGCGACGATTAGTAAGATGTTTGTCAAGCCTTATCTCCTCCTTCACTGAACAAATTCTCCTCTTATTTGCTTATAATGGTAAATATACTGTACATCTGAAATATTGTATCCCACCGACTTTTGGGCCAAGCGGTGGTGTGTTTTATGGGCGACCTTCTTTCTTTGCATTGCAGTAATATAATGCTAGGTAAACTGTATTCAGAGATGTTTCATGTTAATATAGTTAAATGGTTTGCTAAAGCAGGTGTTGTTTACTTTTTGGGAGGGGTATTTTTCTTCATTTTTTTTTAAATCCTGATTGACCTTGATTTGATATGTTCAGACGAGTGAACGAGTAATGTAGTACAATCTAATATTAAGGTATTCATCAAATAAATGTATGGTATAAATTACGTTGTGTTTTATTCAGAAGTGATATTTCACACAAGTTTCATTGTACATAACGAATTGTTATAAATCAATATGTTCTTCAGGTATGAACCATCAACTGTTTATTTGTGGGTATGCTGATTGAATGATTGAAACATTGATTATATACTTCTCTGGAGAATACATTTACTTTGTTTCAGTGGAAATATTTACGATAGGCTCAACAGTCAGTAAGATAAAATAACAAATCACGAACACTGTTTTGAAGTCATCTTGTAATACAGTTTTACAATAATATGAGCCGCGTCACGACAAAACCAACATAATGGGTTTGCGACCAGCATGGATCCAGACCAGCCTGCGCATCCGCGCAGTCTGATCAGGATCCATGCTGTTCGCTATCAGTTTCTCTATTTGTTACAGGGTTTGTAAGCGAACAGCATGGATCCTGATCAGACTGTGCGGATGCGCAGGCTGGTCTGGATCTATGCTGGTCACAAACCCATTATGTTGGTTTTGTCGTGACGCGGCTCATATTGTTTGAGTAAATGAATTCTTATGTATCTGTTGCGTTATAAGTTTTAAACATACTTATTATAGCTCGAGTATGATGAATGTTGAACACCTGTCCGCTTCCAATACTTTACTACTTGTGACATGTTTACTTATTTGCCAATTACCTGAACCATCTTTTTCATCTGTTGCTTTTTAGTAATAAGTACACTTACAGTGAATAATTATTTTGTATGGAAGTCAAAATACTACTTTGTTTATATTTTTGCTACTTATATGACAAATTATTTCACATTTATCGCTAGTTTCTTTAGGCAATAAACATTTAACATTCTCTAAAACCATTATTTAAACATAATAAAATTCATGCTTGCCCTTTTTAAAAACTAAATTATTATTTATTTCCGAGGCATAATGTGCCTTTAAGAGGCAGACAATGTTACCATTTGGCTACGTTTACCCTTCTCTCTTCCAATTACGAATGAAAGCATTATATGGATTGTGTCACTTATATTTAAAGCGTGTGTGATCGACGTTTAAGATTTTATCTCCCATTACAGACAGAATGAAAGATAATGAATATTTGATAACCCACTTGGCAGTTCGTGCTAAATTCCTGGAAGTTTACTATAAGCACGGAGAACACTTTCATATTTTCTCCATCGAGTAAAAGGCATTTGTCTCTCGGATTAATACACTTCTTTCCTTTGGTTTGATCTCTACATTTTAGTTAATTGTATCGCATTTCTCACACGGACATTGGTACTATTTTTGTTCGTCCTCCTTTTTGTTAACCATTAACGAAATGATTTTTTCGCTGAACAGACTAAAACGATTAATAAGTTTTAGTAAGGCTCTTCCCTTGTGGTACTTGGCGGTGACTCGTGTTATAAATTGTTACGAGGATAGTTTAAGTTTTTCTTTTATCTATAGTAGTGATGCTGATTTGATGATGGTGATGATGATGAAGATGATGATGATGATGGTGATGATGTTCATCGATAACTGCACCAATGAATGCTTTTGTGTTATATAGAAAAACAACATCACTTTGTTCTTTTTAATATAGTAAAACAAAATACTTCCATGCTTTATTAAACAGTTACTGAAGTGCGTAACATGTCAGCTCTTCACTCAACATTCTATTTGTCTTATTCTATAATAGGTAAGGTTGATTGCATGTGGTATTTCTCTGTTTACCGCGGTATTTCCCACAACAAAAGTTCATGTCAAAGTAGATCTCAGATAATTAAAGTTATTTGCAGTTCATATAGATAATTCAGTTTTACATTGAACCATTGCCTTAAATAACACATGGTGATAATGAGAGTGCACATAGGGAAGAATGTGAATTCAACATCACATGTTATAAAAGCAACTTAGCAGTTTGAAAGCAGCATGTCTCAAGATTAGCCAAAATATTTCAAGAAAATCAAACTTGGATACATGAACTAATTTTTGACAAAAGTAAAAACATTAACGATTCCTTCTACCTTATATGCGATTAATGACTGGTTTTAAAGTATTTATCACAATAATTGTACTGCGTGACTAAAGCAGTAAGGGCTTTTTTGCATATTTTGGCGTCTGTTTTGGTAATTTACGTGAATTGTAGGTGCCTGTTGCAATATGTAAATTAATTTCTTTGTTCACTTCACAATATTATACTTCTAAATACACTTTCAAAATTTTAAAGAAGTTTAGCATGTATCTGGAGGCATACTGCTTTAATTAAAGTCTACACAGTCTATATTTAAATTTAACTACTTCAACTTTTAAAAGAAATTTTTATAAGCATATTCGAATGAAACAGGTCTGTATGTTTTATTAATATTAGAAATACGTATTAAAAGTATACATGTATTTACTCTAGACCAATCCACTTTAATACGATTTTTATCTTTCATGTTTATCCCTTTGAAATCTCTGTTTTGATTTTATCAACTGAGTTACAAGTGTCTGTGGTTATTTTTAAATGACATGTGAATATTTGAAAGGTATGCGTTTTTTCCCTTCTTATTCCTTATAAATGTTATGATATATTTACAAAGTTGAAGACTTTAAGCAAATGAATGTTTCAATAGACATAAAATCTTAAGATTGTCTTATTTTCATTTTTAGCTCGACTATACGAAGTATATGAAGAGCTGTGCTATTCGCCCCGGCGTCGGCGGTGACGTCGGCGTCCGCGTCTGCGTCCAGATTTCAGATTAAAGTTTTGGTGCAGTAAAATATTTTTCACTATAACTTTGTCATTTCTTAAGGTAAATATATGTTCCTTGTCATCAACCACATCTAATGTGACAAGGTTCATAACTCTAGCCCCAATATTTTCAGATTTATCTCCCCTTGAACTTAGAATTTTCCTTAAAAAATACTAATTTTTACGGTTACTTCTTTATTTCTTAAGGGATAAACTTCATACTTCAAATATATGTTCCTTATGATCAACCACATCTTATGTGACAAGGTTCATAACTCTAACACCAATATTTTCAGGTTTATCTCCCCTTGAACTTAGAATTTTCCTGAAAAAATACTATTTTTATTGTTACTTCTTTATTTCTTAAGGGATCAACTACATACTTCAAATGTATGTACCTTATCATCATCCACATCTTATGTGACAAGGTTTATAACTCTAGCACCAATATTTTCAGTTTAATCTCCCCTTGAACTTAGAATTTTCCTTAAAAAATATTATTTATTACTGTAAATTCTTTATTCCTTAAGGGATCAATTTCATACTTCAAATAAATGTACCTTATCATCATCCACATCTTATGTTACAAGGTTTATAACTCTAGCACCAATATTGCAAGAATTATCTTCCCATAAACTTAGATTTTTTTTACTAGAAAAATGTTATTTTTTACTATGACTTTTTTAGTTTTAAAGGTATCTTCCTCAACCTTCAAATACTTATTCCTTATCATCAATTACATTTTATGTGACAATGTTCATAACTCTTGAAACAATATTTACAGATTTATCTCTCTTTGAACTTAGGATTTTCTTTAAGAAATATTATAACTTCTTTACTTTTTAAGGTATCTTCTTCAAACTTCAAATATATATTTTTTATCATTACACACATGTTGTGTGACAAGGTTCATAACTCTAAGGAGACTATTTGTAGAATTATTCCCCTTGATCTTGAAATTTTTGTTAACAATGTTATATTTTAAAAACATACATAATTGATTTTTCTTTCATAGTTTTGTCTACCTTACTGCGTCCCGTATTTTATTAGTCGAGCTTCGCTGTCTCCTGTGACAGCTCTTGTTTCTTGTAGTATTTCGTGGTTAAAAAGCAATGTTAAATCGAAATTTTATTATTTTATTGAAACTTCACAGATAGTTATATCTCATTAAAGAAAGGTTCAATTCTCATAAGCAAAATTACTCAATTTTCTTACTTAAGATAATGTAGGTCATAACTTTAAACCTCATGAATAGATAGATCTCATTAAAGAGAAGTACATTGTTTAAAAACCATTACTCTTTCTTGAATAACTTTGGGGTCAATGCTCTTTGTTAACTTCCATATTTAATTTTTTCGTGATCATAAATTTGAAGTAAAATGATTTAATTTTCAAATCCCCTTTCACTATATCGCGGTTTCATACGGAATTTTATGAAGTAATTTGAAAATGATTGTAAAGATGAAATTGAATGCTTAGTGAATGACATAACTTGTTTTGTTACAGATCAGTTTTCATGAGTAAATTAAGAAATAGCATCTGTACAGAATATCTATATAAGTCGGCAAGGCATGACCAATAAATCTTTAGCGTAACGTTAATTACTTTCATAAAGTACGGGAGATATCGGTTTTACTAACATGTCTTATTTTTGTTATATTTTCAGTGCTGGAAATGCAAGTGATAATGTGAAAACCTTGGATACATTTTTTACAATACTATCCGTGCCATGCCCTCCGGTGGATAGTCTCCATTTTGTATGTAATCATAAAATAGGCGATCCTAGATCAACATGTGAGGAACGTGCATTAATTATTAACAAGTGTTTGCATCAATTTCCAGGACTCTATAATAATTCCCAATGGAGTTTGTGTTTGATGGATGTTTGTAAGTGTGAAGCAGTGTTAAATGTTCTTCGCAATAATGATTTTATAAATAAATCAGACGATGATGCGGAGTCAGTGACTGTGACAACAATTACCGTATCGACCACATTGTCAACATCGAATTTAACAACAAGCTCAATCACATCCGCGGTATCTTCTCAAAGCACATCTATTACGACATCTATAACGACATCGTCAGACACAACATCCGGGTCATCTGAGAGTGTTTCACCAATGGATGACGGAAGTGAAACGCCATCTAGTGCGGACGGAGAGCTTAACACTGTTTCATATATCTATCCAATCATTGGCGCTTTTTTGATTGCCTTCGAAATCGTGATGTTATGTGCATTGTAAGTTTGATACTTATTATTTTATTTTATTTATTTATTTTATTTATTTTTTTTTTTAGAAAATCTCTTTTGGTTGAATTGAAAGAACTAACAAAAGATTGCTGGTTTTATTCAGTTGCCAGAAATTTATTATTATAGTGAATTTAAGACACTGGATCAAGGTCAAAGTTTGTAAGCTGCATAGTGCCAAAATTATTTAATATATTGTATGATAATTCAAGATATTCTCTTGGAATATATATATTTACGCACTCATAATAAATCACAATTTATTTATTTATTTATTTTTATTTATTTATTTATTTATTTATTTATTTATTTATTTATTTATTTATTTATTTATTTATTTATAATCGGATGAGCTACATGCATATGTCTCAAGAATTAGCATGTGGAAAGCATTTTCAAATCTATTTTGCAATTCTTTTTTCCTGAGAAAAAATATCGTAGATGTACTTAAAGATATAGCTATTTTACCCTGCTCTATCTGTTATAAATTTCGAGTTTTTCACAGCCCATTGGTGATATAAGGGATTTCAGTATTAAAATACTCTAAATGAGAAACTAAAAGTGAATTTGAGTCAAATGAGCACACACGGTATACAGTCTTGACTGGCTCTACATTGAGGGTAAAGGTGTTCGTACCGAGGGTATAATCTCTATACTGAGGATACAGATAGGTCCGAAGTTATAAAGCATTTCTCATAGCTCTTAGTCAGGGGCCAGTTTACATAGTACATGTACAACTTTACTATCATAGCACAACTTTACTTGCATAGCACAACTTTACTTGCATATCAAACTTATAGTTGCATAGTACAACTATACCCCCTTTGCATTCATTTTGATGTTTTGACTGCATCAAAATTGGCAAAATGCAATCAGTGCGTAATATTGTACAAATGACACTTGTTTAAATTTTAGACAAACATGCGGTTGCCGAGCACCGTGTCTGTTTTTATCAGTTTTTATTCGACTCTTAAGAAGATTTATGGATATTTTTCAAGTACATAATTACTGTTCGTGAGTTAATTCTCGGAAACATGTTTACCCTGTCATTAAAATAAGACGTTAATGTTTAACGGAACTAAATTGAATCACAACATAACATTTTTAACATTTTTATTATGGTGAATTTTAAAAGTTACATAGTGAATTCTACGTAGGTTTAAAAGAAAACGACCAGTCTTAAGGTAGCGTTTGCCTATCGGTGTTTTTTCACTTATTTCCAATTAATTAAATTGTTAACTTGTCCGTATAACCTGTGTGACAACCTGAGCAATTTACGGACACTTGATTTTGCCGCCCCTGAATTATATAGGGACAAGTTCCCTACCAAACGCTTCTTCTGACTTTCACACAATTAGATTATATTAGATTTTTATAGCACTCTTAAAATATTGTGGTGAGCTTTGTGGTTGACGTTTGCATTCTTCAAACCTCTTCCTCATTACAAACTCGGAATTGGAAATTGCCAGTACAATAATGATAATAATGATATTAATTTGTCATCGATAAATTTGAAAAGTCGATGTATGACGGTCGATCTTAAAGAAAAGTTCAAACAAATATCACATAAGAGTACATGGCAGAGTAGAGTTATTCTTATACGAGGAACCACGTTGTGTAGATTGAATCATCAATTCACCTGTATTTGTAATCATATAATCTAAATAATGTATAATAACAAAGTAGATTTCTACGGTATTAACTTATATTTACCTGTATAAAATATTAAGTCTGCTGCAAATTATCTTGCAAATTACTCTGCATTTATTGTGTTCGAAAACTGTTTTATAACTCAAATATTTTGCAAATGAGATTGCAAATGGCTGCTGCAAGTAAAAACCTGAAATTAGTACAAAATGTATACATTTGCAAAGAAAACAGGTTTCTGCCAACAATTTTCTACACAGATTCCAGAATATCAGGCTCTTGTGGATAGCTGCATGACGGGCCGATATCAATCTGTTGTATAACAGTAGCGTTTTAGAATGAATATAGAAACTCTTCAGTTCGGAGTTGTTGGGGTTTTTTTCTCTCAAGTGCTTTTCAATTATATTTGCTTCTAACACAGAAAGGGTGGGTCAGGAAAAAAATGAATATGATGAATATCTAAAATTTTGTGCTTAAACATTTTTTGCTTACAAATTACCGGAGTCATATATACAAACGTAAAATTTTTATAATCTCAACTTTCCTGAGATTGATCCTAATGTGGAGCTGGGAGTTCCGAGATCGAACTCAAATGAACCGCGTCACGACAAAACCAACGTAATGGGTTTGCGACCAGCATGAGTCCAGACCAGCCTGCGCATCCGCGCAGTCTGATCAGGATCCATGCTGTTCGCTATCAGTTTCTCTACTTGTTATAGGGTTTGTAAGCGAACAGCATGGATCCTGATCAGACTGCGCGGATGCGCAGGCTCGTCTGGATCCATGCTGGTCGCAAACGCATTACGTTGGTTTTGTCGTGACGCGGCTCAAATGTTTATAACCTTGGAGACTGGTGTAAGAAACTTGTTAAAAATCCACGAGCTCTGATTTAACTTAATTCATCTTAATCTCTTAGATACCGGACCTCTTTATTCAAAGAAAGTTTGCGTTGTTTTGTGTGACATTTATTTTGCAGATATCTGTATATTCTATAGCAAATTTAAATTCTCTAACATCAGAGTAGGAATATCTTGTTCTCCCTTTCTTCACAGGCAGTGTCAAAAATAGTTCACGTACCTTCTTTCAACAGCGGTATTATTCTAATAGTCTTTCTTTTTAAGCAAACTCATTATAGGTTTCTCCAACCTGCATGTGTGAAAGAATGCAAAATAAACGATGGAAAAAGCTTTCATTCCTTACCATGCAACTTATTTGAGTGTTTCTTATATTTTTATGTACTGGTTGTCGTAAAAGATATTCTGGTTCAAATAAACACCATCTTTAGCGTTCATATTGTATTTATTTATGTTTTGTTTTCGTGAGGTTTGCTTATGATATGAATCTTTTCTTGTTATTATTGCAGTTCATGTTATAAGAAGAAAAGAGAACACAATGCAAATGCTGTAAGTATTATTTAAAATTAAGTTGTCAAACAACAATTAAAAAAAATATATTGCCGCTCAAAAAGATCTATAGTTCGTCTGCTGTTGTTGATTTTAACGGAATTTCCATTTTCCGATTGTATTGTGTTGATTTTGGAGTAATTGTTCCAGTAAACTGTTTGTCTTGGTTTTATCTGTATACATGTACATGAATGTTATTAGAATGTACATCATGTTCCTTTATCTGTATACATGTACGAGAATGTATTAGAATGTATATCATATTCTTTTATCTGTATAATGTACGGACATTTCCGCCATGAATGTATTGGGTTTTACATCATATTTTATCCAGTCAGGAGTCTGCTGAAATAAACGTGTCTGCTTTTTTTGTGATATTAACAGATTTACCTATCTAGATTCCCAGTAATAACTAATAAAGATTTAACATAATTTCTTCTTCCTGATTTATTTTTATCAAAGCTCATGAATACAAAACGATGGTGTTTTTATAGAAGTTATTTTTCTACATCATACTGCTTCAGTAAAGACTGTTAACATGGCTAGAATTCCCTTTGGACAAAACCAATCAAATTTTTTCACCGTAATTTCTTCGGTGAGGAAACGATACGGCGGGTATGGCCTAGAATCCATTGTGGTGTTTAATAAGTACAGGTTTGACTGTACTTTTGACATCGACTTACCATGACCGGCACTAAATAAGTGTTGCACACGTGACCATTTTGCAGTGAGATAATGATACATATAATTCAAACTTTTGCCAAGTCGAGACCGAAAGATTAAGAACCGGTTTATCCCACTGTTTCTGGCATTTGGTTTTGCTTCGTTGTTTGTTGTTGTTTAAATGCCAGCTGCTTTGTTCGTTAAAATATTTCTAAACCTGTTAGTTTTTACGATTTCAACTGTTTCTTGTAGTGGTTTTGTAGTTATACATGTTTGTTGCGAAATACGGAACAATTGAAGCATTCTTTGCTGAATTAAAGAGTTAGAAAATATTCCGTCATTATACGTTGAATGTTTAAAAAACAAACAAACGGCGAATTAGAAAATGAACCTGCCGTCTTGTCTCCCCTGATTCAGAAAACAATAGAAATTGCGTTTCGAATTTTACTGACATTCTATTCTTGTTTTATTGTGATTGAGTTCTTAAGTGTTTCAACTTTACTCATGGCAGAAAACAAAGTGATTCAACCTGAGGAGTATAGCACTATAGGGATGTTGTTGATTTCTGTGTGTACGTGTGCGCGAGTGGGCGTGTACGTGCAAGCTTGCGCGCGCGTATGTTATTGTTGTTGGTGATGGTGGTAGTGGTGATGATGATGATGATGATGATGATGATGATGATGATGATGATGATGATGATGATGATGATGATGATGATGATGATGATGATGATCATGTCTGTGTTGGTTTCTTTTAACTTGGGTAATGGATTTTTGCTTCAGAACTTAGCTGGATATAATTATTTCCGATTATATTATTTTACTATTTGTCTATCCCTATACTGCGATATGCTGTAAATGCTCAAATTTTTATTTAGGGTTTCTTTCTGCGTGCTTACAGGAAGAGGTTGATTCGAACCCGTGAAAGACCTCCGAGTTTCCAACCCCAAAAGCCCCGCACCTTAACACCCTAACTTCGGTCTATGACGAGTTACAGTTTTGTACTGGAGGTTGAAGGATAAAAAAACGAATTTATAAAAAAGTACCATTAAATTTCTCAAATAACATAGATGATTTTACTTCGAGCCCGAAATTCAACGCCGGGAAAAGAAAAAGCTCTGATGAGGGAATTAGCAAATATATATTGCCATTATGTTAATCAAAAATTAGCAAAAAAAAAAAATAAGCCAAAAAAATTGTATAAAGAATTTGTGTTATTTACACATACTGCCCATATTTTATATTGTTAGAAAAAAAAAAACGCCGCCTTTTATTCTGTTGCGTTGCTACTTGTACTTTGTTTTTGAATGCCAGGCATTTCGAGGAATGTATTGGATATCGCAGTGCAGTGTAGTGCAGACAGCTTAAGTGCAAGAGATTTTCATCCGTGAAAACATCGTGCTAAAACTTGTGAAACGTCAGTAAATAGTGAGCTACTACAAATGTAAATACAGTGAATATCAGTGGTGAGGTTAGTATGGAATAAATTGACTAATGTTTAACATTTACGAATACTATCGCCCTTGTTAAAAATACTCGTTTTTTATTTTATGCTTTTGAGTGGATTACTGATTTATCCGTGAAAATTATATTTGATAATTTCACAGTGAAAATTATCAAAATATAATTTCACACTTTTCAATGACGAAACTACTTTTTTTTAAATTTTCCCCATATGGTACCTCAATTTTATTTTTGCTGACAATTCTGACAATGCCAGGCTGTTTAAAGAAAATAAAAGCTGAAATTGATAAATAACATAAATGTCAAAAGTAATAAAAAGAAGAAAACTTCATTCAAATTCCAATCACCAAATTTCGTCTCTATTTTTTGTTTGTTTCATTTTTACAGTCTGAAAAATACATTCCTTCCACATGCAAAACTGCTCTTGGTGACATTTGGGCATATTAAAGTATCCTACGAGCAATAACTGCCGTTTGCTTTATGAAAACTTGAAAAGCAATGTCCATCACTCGAAGAATAATGAAACAACCCAGCTTTCCTGAGCCAGCCTTTGAAGTTTTCCATTTTCCTTGCTGTTTTTGAATGTTTTCACATCTGTCAACACTTATTTTTTGTCTGTTACAATCCTCAAATAAGTTTTCTTTCTTTTAAAAAGGTGTATGACTAACTAATCCAAATGATATCCCTCTGAATCAAACACAATTATTTTCCTCCCGTGAAATACACAACTTTAAAAAATGGCTGCCGCTTACATTTAACAAAGCCAGGTCTAATATAAATTCGCAGTAAGTAACAGAATTATGGATGGATGGTTGGACTTTTTCTCATACAAGAATTGTTTGTTTTTATTATTAAAACAAGCGATCATTCATATTTTTTTAATAAAATGAATAACATCACCGTCATTTAACGTTGATAGTCGAACTTTTTTTTTCAGCTCAAGACTTCTTGTATTTAATAAGAAATTCCGAATAAATGGGGCTCTCAATGGGGATAACAGATTTTAATATTGACGGAAATTTCGTTTTTTCTTGTTTTTAAGCATAAAATAAAATGAAAATTTGTTTGTTTGTTGTGTAAGATGTAATTTTATTTCATCTCGTGAACTTTAAAAACAGTATTCTCACTCGTGGCTACGCCACTCGTGAGAATACTGTTTTTAAAGCCCACTCGATGAAATAAAATTTCATCTTACACACAAACAAACAAATATCCTCTATATGTTCAAAATTTTCAAACAATTATTTAAAAAAAAGATTAACTTGAATGCAACTTAGTTCAGATCATTTCAAAGATTACTAGCTCCCCTTTTTACGATGAAATACCATTCAGTCTAGAAAAGTAGTTCTTCCATAATTTACTTGTCAGCTATCTAAAAAATCAAATTATGTAAGCACTCGATTGCATAAATATGTCAATATGTTTGATACTCACGAGTACTTATAGTTGGTTGTATTACCATTCGGTTTGCTGTCCGCATGTCCGTCCTTTTCATACATACACCCAGTTTGTCAATATATAAAGTCAACTGGTTATGATTGAAATCCAGTGAATTAGTTCATTAAGTGATCTTCACAATTATGGTCCTTACAGCGTTATTTTGTGAATCATTGAAGGTTTTTCTTAGGTATATGGTTATATAGTTATTTACTGGATGATTTCTACATTGTGTTTACATGCAGAGGTCAAAGTAAAACGTGTTCTAAATGTTATCATATAACATATCATTAGAAATTGATGTAATTGATATGAAGTGATGTAATTGTCCATAGTTAAAAGTTACAAGGGATAATGATGGACATTTTAGGTATTACTTAGTTCATTTCTTACTTATCCAAATTGTTAAAGATAAATCACTGAAAAGGCGGTGATATAATTGATGTTCAGATAGATAAATAATAACATTGCCGAGGCTTAAACGGTTTTGAGGATCCAATAATATACAATACGGATGGGTTCACCTGTTTAACCTCGCCTTTGTTTCTTAAAACACAAACAATGGTATTATACAAAAGGTATAAAGCGAATATGAAAGTTCCTTTTTACTCAGGAACATTACAAAGTTTAAGATCTCAAGAGACCATTTTAAAGGTTTAGGTCCCTCAAAAACAGAACAATGTGTGAGTCCCTCAAGAAAATTACTAAATTTTAGGTCCCTCAAGTACATTACATGTACAAAGTTTTAGATCCTTTAAGAACATTAAAAAGTTTTAGATCTCTCAAGTACAGTTCAAACCTTAAGATCCCTCAAGTACATTGCAAAGTTTTAGATCCCTCAAGTATATTACAAAGTTTTAGATCCCTCAAGTATATTACAAAGTTTTAGATCCCTCAAGTACATTACAAAGTTTTAGATTCCTCAAGTGCATTGCAAAGTTTTAGATCCCTCAAGTACATTGCAAAGTTTTTAATCCCTCAAATACATTACAAAGTTTTATTACAAAGTTTTAGATCCCTCAAGTACATTACAAAGTTTTAGATCCCTAAAGTACATTGCAAAGTTTTAGGTCCCTCAAGTATATTACAAAGTTTTAGATCCCTTAAGTACATTACAAAGTTTTAGATCCCTCAAGTACATTGCAAAGTTTTAGATCCCTAAAGTACATTACAAAGTTAAAGATCCCTCAAGTACATTGCAAAGTTTAGATCCCTCAATGACATTACAAAGTTTTAGATCCCTCAATGACATTACAAAGTTTTAGATCCCTCAAGTACATTACAAAGATTTAGATCCCTCAAGAATATTTCAAAGTTTTAGGTCCCTCAAGAACATAACAAAATTTAAGATCCCTCGAAAATGTTCTTGGAGGATCTAGAAATATGTTCTTGATGGATCTAGAACTTTTAGAACCCATTGAATATCATGAATTCTGTTATTAGTTCTTGGATGCGGATAAGTGGGGACGTTTTGAGCTTTTCATCGTAATCGAGCTTTATAAATATGTTTCATGAAAGTTTAAAACATATCTATTTTGTGATTAAACCTTTAAAGGCACATTTAGCCTCATAAAAAAGTAAAAACGTTTCCCTCTTTTGAAAGAACGGCATTTGTTTTATTGTGTTGAAAAAAAACGGATTTAGAACATGTGAGATGCATATCACCGGAAAATAGCGATAGAGATATCAAAATGTAAACAAAATGGTATTTTGAAATCCATACAAAATACTAGATCATAAATAGTGTACTAATTACCAAAACGCGAAAGAAACAAATATATATTAGCTCGGGTATATTAAGTAACTTTTGGAAACTGTGACGCCAAAATAAAAAGAGAGCATTTATGAGGCTTAAAAAGAGTTTAAAAAATTATTTTACATCTAAATATATAAAGACATAAATACTTTGTATGTTTTTGTAGAATGTAGAGGATATCCTATCAAGAAGTGAAATCTTTCACACGGTGGTGTTACGAGCATCTTGCGCTTGTGAAATATAAGAAAGTATCGCACTTAAAAATTAAATGTAGATCTTGTGTATTTTATTCTAGATTTTTCAACTGAAAAGAAAGCTTTGTTTCTTGCCACTGAATATAAGTCAATAAACTATGTATGATATATATATTGTATCTTTCTGGTGAAAATCTGTATTTTCCTAGGTAGTAAACAGTGTATAGTTATTTAACCTTAGCTGTTATTTAGTAGTGACATTTATTTGAGATATAGCGGTACCTCTTTTATTATTACAGATATTCCAGTGATAGTTTTTTTCATTTTTAATGATATTTTTTACTTTTTGTTTTTTCTAAGTATGATATTTATTTGTATCTCTTCCATTTGTATTGTAATAACTGTTAAACTGTTATTTAGCTTTGCAACTATTGTTTTAAAAAATATGAAATAAATATATATTAAAATGTGTTCATTTATTATGCTCGTTGTGGTTCAATATAAGATACACTATCCGCTAAAAGATATTATTTCTTAATCCAAAAAATACGAATCCCGAGTTTACTAGGTCACCTGGCTGAATCCCTTGATTAAATTGAAATATATTATTTAACATAAGCTATAGTTGATATCTGACAGATCTATAAATAACACATTGTACCTGAAATTGCACGCAACTCTTGCGTCCCAGTCCAATTTGCAAATGATGAGTTGTCTCGCTTTGACTGAATTTTATTATGGAGGGAAACTGTGGTACATAAATTATTCGTGATGTTAACATTTCCTACAAAGCCATTCATTTCCGAGTTATATTCTGATCGGACTGACAAAGTACATGTACAATAAAATGTGGCAACGATCCATAACTCATGTCTGATAATATCATGATAATTACATCAGACTAATTAATAAATTCTTCGTAGAAGGCACAACATTATTTTCTACTGTATATATCATTATATCATCTAAATATAAAAAGAAAATGCAGCATACATACTAAAGCAAAGACCAAACGTTATTATCATTTTTGCGCGTATTGAGTTCGCAATGGTAAAAAGGTCTTCAGCACGCAATGGTAAATAGGTATCACCAGAATTTCTTAAATTGACAGCTTCAATTAAGGAATTTTTTCATTACCAACATTGGGAATATAAAGACAGCCTGGCTCTCAATTCCAACAGGTTAAAGATAACAACATTGGAAAGACACTACAAAGGTTTTTAAAGAGTTAATGTATATATATAAAAAAAAAACAACAACACTTTTTACGTGAGTTGCATCAAAACTCTATATACGAATCATTCATTTTTAAATGACAGTTGCGAGTACAGACACTGTACAGTTCTTTTTCGAAAAAAAAAAGATTTATTTTACTTACCAAAGGGAAAGGGAGACAATCCTTACATATTTATACTTTTTTATTTATTTTTTTATAATTTTAAAATTAATTACATTGTAGTAGTTTAAACCATAATTGTATGTCCGAGAAGTTGACAGCCGAGCAGCCCAGCATCCTAAAGTAAGTAAACATATACTGGACGTACGGAAACGGTCAAAATGTATTTTAATCACTTTTTAAGAACATTAAAAGCATACTTGACATGAAAAATACTTTACCTCTACGCTGCTGAAAATATATACGTGCGTGCTCTTTAGGCTCTACCGGTCTCAGCACTATGCGGCCCGACTGCACGAAATTCGAACTATCTGGCGCAAAAACATGAACTCTCAATATAATTATTAAAATATTTCATTAGACATAAAAAATCTTATCATTTGCGTCACAAAATCGCCCAAAAATGAGCTCGAATCAAAAACAGTTATACCTTCGTGCTCTGTAGACTAGCTACTTGAATGAGGCCGGTTTAAAGAGTATAAATCTATCTTATAAAGTATATTTATAAAAATTATCAACAGTAAAATTATACTGGTTCCATTATTATATGGTTGATTCCCGAAAAAGTTGTAACATAGAATGTCTTCGTTATTTAATACACATGAATAATGCACGTAAAGATAATAAAAATGTCCCGGAACAAAATATTTGCTATTTTAAGTAAGGTCCTATCCGTTTTGCAATGACTTTATTCATGCCCCACTCTCTTTAAGGCAATTTATTGTCATTTTTATTTCATACAAACATTTTGGAAGTACTCTTTTTTCAAAATCAAAACAAAATGTTTACATCAGATATATAGCTTTATACACTTTAAACACTGTGTGCTCGTCTGCAGGAAACACGGACCGTCTGACGGACTCGCATGTTCGGCGTGAAAACATGCACTTACATATTGATGACTTTAAAAAAAAAAAAGCATAAATGTTAGTATGAAACTGTAATACATACATAATATTGTACAGTTGTTTTTTTTTGGGTTTTTTTTTTTAAAAAAAGATGTTATTATATCTATATGACTTGTAAATAAATATAAAGAAGTCACGAATTTTCCAGAATTTTATTGAGAGACCACTTTGTTAAGAGACCACTTTTTGGCAGTCCTTTGAGTGGTCTCTTAATACAATGTCGACTGTATAACAGATTCGCTAAAACATTGTATACTTGAAGTACATCTTGTTTCCATCACTTTTTCGTGCAACCGGGCTCAAGCCCTAAAAATATGCATACATGCTCTGAATGCTCTGGCAAGTTTCACGTGGCCTGTCCAAGACCGTCTGACGGACTCGCGTGCTCGGTACGAAAACATGAATTTTCAACAGATTTGCTAAATCAATGAACTAGACGTATCTTTATGCTTGCGTCAAACCGGGATCGACCCCCTAAAAAGGCCGGTCTCTGCATTATGCGAAACGTCTGATACTTTCATTAGAGTCGGCGTTAACCTATTTGGTTAAGTTTTCGTTGACGATCATTAACTTCACTAATAATTAAGCTATTTCATTGAAACTGTACATGTATATGCGGAGGCACCTTGGTCCTACGTGCCGCATTTATTTTAGGTCAACTGGCAGTGAAATAACAAAGAATACATCTGGCCATTAAAGTAAAGTGCATACCCATAATAATTTCAAATTTTGTATGCAATTAATTGCACCAAAATGAGTTCTACAAGCCACATTCATTTTCAAGTCAAAAGGTCAAATATCCATTTCCTTATTTGTTTATTAAGATACCAGGCGTTCTCTCTTTCTCATTCAGAAAAGTCGCGAGATCGTATAAAACACCTAGATAGCTCCTACCTACATCACAATAAAAGACCGAGTAAGTATAAAACAAATAGAGATCACGGAAATTGGACATCATATTTTGTGGTCAGAAAAGCCGAGATCGTATGAGATCCCGGAAAAGCAAACAGAGCGTAAAGAGTTCCAAACGTCTAAAATCTAGAGACTTTATTACAGAACATTCAGCTGCAAGGAAAATCCAAATAAATTTATATTTGTTAATCCAATCCCAGCACATGTATATCGTGTATATATATTGATTTTAGATCAATATATTATAAAGTTAAGAAATAATTTCGTTCTGGATGGCGTTTATCGGCTTTTTAACAACAGTTTTGAATTTTGATGCAGTTTTTTTTTCACATCAAAATGAAATTGATTATTTATAACTTTTTATTGCCACAAATTTTGTCGTGTAGTAAGCATTTCCTCAATCAACTAATAATTAAAACCCGTGGGTCAATTAGGTGGACAGCTCGTCCGGTCACATAGTAAACAAGTGTCAAGACAACAATAGTACTTTCCGCCTGATAAAGATCTTTAATTACAAAAGCGGGGATAAAACCTTTTATTAGCAGTACTTAACTAGTGTTATTTCGTACAATACAAAATTAGAGGTTCTTAATTAATGCATTCTGTCAAATATAAGCGAATCCATATATATAAGTTTATTTGTTATCTGTTACAAAGCGGAGAATTTGGTTTAATTAATTCATTTTTAATATACATAACGTAGGCGGGTTATCCTATAAATACTCAGGGATCAGACTAGTATTTCAGAGTCGTTTTTAATGTTAGTAACTTACTCTTTAAACTGTTTGACTTAGACCTTTGATCATAAATAAATGTTGAACTTACTGTAAATGCACATTTTAGTAAAGAACAATAATTAAACTGAATGACATTTGAATATACACTGTGTTGACTTATTGTATTTGAGTTTATTCAGATAACCCACAATACAATTTTGAAATATATCAAAACCATATTACTTTATTTTATGAATCTCGGGATTTTCCCAGTCTTGTCGCGATATAAACACATGTGCATCAATTTGTTGATATAAAATGATAAAACCACTAAAAACCACATGTTCGTTCATTCATCCTTGCTATAAATTAAACAGAGAATAACACTAAAACATATTGTATTGTGGTTTTGATGAATTGACAGCTAAATGATTTTTATGATTTTAAGGATCTGAGGAAAAATGGTTGAAGTGGAAGACTTGTAGGTATTCAAATCCTTGAATTGGAAATGATCTGGTGAGCTTTAATTGAATTCAATATAAAAGAAATTAATATTATTATCATTGTACGTAAACTTATCCTTTCCGTATAACAAAATTCCTTTAGGTTTATTATGATCATTTTTGCATTAGATAACCAGTTTTAAACGGCAATCGCAACTTTCCGGCCCTTTCCGCGGTCTCATTAAAAAGCGTACGGAAGAAATATAGCATCAGGAAGCGTCTGGACTTAAAACATCGATGTAGTTGAAAGGAATTATTATCCATTTAACACTTGTTATTCTAAATAATATAAAAATATGAAAGAAGTTTTTTATCTATAAAATATTATTTCATACCCATAACAGAAAGAAATCCCTGCACTAATTGATGAAGCGTCCGGAAGGTTTTATTTAAATTAGGGTCTTTCAAAACAAAAGACATATAGATAACAGAGATAGTCAACAAGATATCACGCGTGCTTCCTAAACTTAAAACTTGTAGCAAATAAAACTTATGAATCAGATTTCAAAATCATTAAAATAATACATTTTCTGAACTGAAAGCTTATGCATTTTTCTATGGATGCAGGTAAAAACATTTACAGTTCCCATTTAAATAAATGATACATCAATTTTTAAAGAGAACTCCTTATTAATTTTGTTACAGAACTATTCATTTGACGAAAAACTGGCTCAGTGGGTATGTTCAGCTATGTTTTTCTAAGTGAAAGGCATGGAAAGCTACCAATATTTTAACAATGCAGCAATAGATAAAAGATTTATCTTTCAAATAGTGTAAAAAATGAAGAAAAAAACAAATGTATTTGTCGCAGTCCACTCTAACTATAAGGGAAAGATGTTGTGCTAAGAGGTTCTTGCCTTGAGGGTTGCTGCAAAAATACAGAGACGCGCTCTCAGAAAACATTTATTATTAATCAATATAAGTCTGGCTCGCGCCATGAAAACCTTCAGGACTAGTGTCAATACAAAATAATGACAAATGACACAAACACATGAATGGCAAAATGTAGAATAACAAGTATGGTATCAATACAGACAATCATATTTACCTACCTGCAAAAATACAGAGACGCGCCCTCAGAAAATATTTATTATCAATCAATATGAAGTCTGGCTCGCGCCATGAAAACCTACAGTACGAGTGCGCATGTGTGAAGATACTTAGTGCGGAAATAGAATATTTAGGATTGAGGCCCGTACCAGTGGTTAGTACATACTTGTTAATAAATGAATGAATGGATGAAGAAATGAATGAATGAATGAGTAAAATAAATAAAAGGATGAATGGATGACATATAGGAAAAGGGACACAAATATAGGACTTCACAAGAATAATACACAGAATACAAATACAAGCAGACATGACATGGACATTGTACATAACAATAATCTACGGTGTACAATACGTTTAACATAACATTGCAAACAACACATAACATTAACACATCAATATGACACTGCAACATATATGTATACACTAATTAAGTTTTACTTTTTACAAAATGCCTATTTTTTACTTTTTAACAACCCATTTGATTGTTAAAATGAAAATTAATGCTTCCCGCACTTTTCCTGACGCTTTCCGACGTTGTATTTTTTCCGGACGCTTTTTAGTGAGACCCATTTTTTTTTTTAAATGATAATAGCCGAGATCTTCCGATTGCTAAAGCGGTAGATTACAAAAACGTAAATAAAGAAGAATGCATCTTCAAAATACTATATAACAGTGTACACGCCGAATAGATTATTTGAGACAGATTATTATTTATTTAACTGAAGTAATGTGATAATGTATATACGCAAATTAAAACCGTTATAAACAAGAATACAAAAATGTCATCATATTTCGCGAGAAGAGTATGATAGGTAACAATATAAACTTCGCAAATTTATTTGATTTACATCGACAGCCTTCTAAAATCAGACAAGTTCCTAGCTTAACATGTTTATGTCATTTTTTGGAGATTATAATGATTACTTGCCCTGCTGATGCTAATGATAAGCCCCAATTTAGTGACAATTCTTCCCAGATTAATGACAAATCACAACATAATCACTGAAAATTACTGTAAAACATTAAAATTAAGAACCGATTAGGCTATAATAATATGAAATTAGGCAAAGCCTATAAACGGTGAAGTCGTTAAAAAAATCCTTTCATTCTTTCCGTTTTAAAGGTGTCATTCGGTATTACATGCACCGCTTCCATTTTCACTCGGAACACTCGACGATTATTATTAATCCGAAAAGTTGAGATTTGTTCCGTTATCGGAATACACCGCCTTTTATCATTGAGTTACATTGTAAATGGCGGCGCCAAACTAGAACTGACACTGAAAATTTCATTGATAGGAATAGAATTCTATATATTTTTTTAATTGTTTTATATTTGAATATTCTTTTAAATATACACGTGTAGTCTATAGCCGGGCAAAAGCGGGCCCGGACTTTGACTTCCCCGTATTAATAAGGCAAAACCTCAAAGTGAGCTCTGACAGAATTTATAATTATAATTATACATGTTTATCTAACCCTAAATCATGTATTTATTAAACCCTCCAGCCTCAACAGTTTTACAAGTCTGCACACTTTTGGCCAAATCATTCACTCAAAACTTCTACAAACTATATTTCATTTGAAAATACTGCCATTTCATGTTTATATGATATAATCTAAATTGAACATATCCGTAAGAGAACATAAATTGCTGTTTAACCCTTTACCTCATATATACGCGAACAAACAAGCATTTCGACCCCCCCCCCCCTGCTCAAATAGTGAAATAATGTCCTATTCGGGTCCCCAAACAATGTTTTTGGTTTGAGAAATGTTTGATAAAAAAGTGATCACCTTTTCCGACGCCACCCCAGTGTCTATTCTAGGATTTCAAACATTAGGGGGTGATTTTTCCCCCTCTATTCAAAAAAGGGGGGATTTTCAAAATCAAGGGGTGCCAATATAAACTGCCAATGTTAAATCGTCTGCATTAAGTTTAAAACAGAGGCGTTCAATGCCGCGATGAAATAATTAAAACTAAGGCAGCAGAAGTTGTCCCCCCCTTAATTTTTAAACGAAAACAAATCATTATAGAACTGTCGCGATTGATTATAAAGGGATTGACAGTACAAACAATAGACCTATCTTTCACGTCTAGATCATAGCCAAGCATTTTTCTTGATTATTTACTACACTTTAATGGCGCCCAACTGTTCCGCACACTAGTTCCGGTTGGTACAGAACATTCCATTAATTTCCGTCAACTCACGTAACCAGTACCATACGGTACTAAATTATTATAATTAGCTTATAGTTACTTCCCTTTGGTTTCCGGTGTAAATGTAAACAAAACGACCAAATTTAATGCAGGATGGAAGTTTAACGATTTTATTAACTTTTTTTATAGATGCGCGATTTTCACGCACATGATTTTGAATTGTGCGCTATCTGTGAAATACTAGCGTGAATCGCGCAATCGCGCGTCCTAGAATAGACACTGCATCCCCCATCAAAAAGGTACATCTGGGGGTTGCCAAAAGGGGGATGTGCCCCCTGCTGTTTTGGGGAGGGGGGTTTGAAGGGGCAGCAGCCCCCCTCATCACCAAGAAAATTTTGGACTTGTGAGAGGCTAAAAATGACCCCAGGTCGTTTAACCAACGCTGAAAAGCCTTTGACTCTATCTGAATCTGTTGAGAAGTTGCAGCACTTTGAAATCAATTTTGATGGAAAAAAATCAACGCAAAATAGTGATTTTTGGCAATTTTGAGATGTCCCCTCGTTGTTATGGTAACAGGAAATTTAAGACTGAGCATGTTGTTACAAAGGCAATGGTCCAGTCAACATTTGTGCCAAGTTTGATTGGTATTGAAGCAGTTTTTATAGTTTAATAGCAATTTGAAATTGTAATGGGAGACTTTTCAATGAAAACAGCCATTTTTCACAAAATGCTCATGCAGTAATGGGTTAAAATCAAATTTTGAAATTATATATATTTTACAATCATTTTTTATAAAATGATGGTGAGAGCGCTAAGAGTCCCATTTCGGGAAATGGTCTTTCGCAAAATTTGTTATAAATTAGGATTGATGATATTAAATCAGCAAGGTTTTCCGAATGCCAGTTTGAGTGGGAACCAAAATAAGACAGTAAACCAGAATAACTGTGTCCCAGCGTGCTTTGATAAGTAATTTGAGACAAGGTAACCTGGTGGTACTGATTCCCTACATGCTCCAAAAATAATAGTACAGGGAACCAAAATAACCTCCGATGAAGAGCAGGCAAACTCTTTACTGGGCAGGAACCAGTTTCCGGACAATACTAGTTTCCGGACAAGTATTATAACAGCTTAATTTTGGCTTTATCGATGACGATCGGTATTATATGTTATGAATATGCTTGGTTTGATTGTTTGAGAAAATAAACTTCCTTCCAAGTTGATACATCATTAAAATTTCGTGAGGATATCTTACCTGTGTTTTAAAAACAGCCTTATATCCCTTTGGGGCATGTAATTTGTTCTGCGCATGCACAATATTTTGTTTATTTCGGGATATAATTTTGGGTAGCAATTAATGCACAATGTACTTCATTCGAAGTTCATTGGTTGTAATTCCCCAGAGCTAAATCTGTAACGTATCGGAAAACGGTGTTTAGCTAGGTCAGCTGAGCTAGGTTTACTCCACTTTCGTACTTCGTTGCTGCCATACACACAAAAATATCCGTTTCACTTTTCAGTCATTCCGAGGCTCAGACCCATCACATAATCGTTATTTTTCCTATAAAAACATTTTTCAGTAAATCTGCTTAATTATATAAGAAAGCTAATATGTGAGAATAAATTATTTGTTATATTAGAATAATTATCAGTTAAAAAGAGATATGAATAGCAGCTTAATATATGTCCGGAAACTGGTTCTGCAAGAGTTTTGATGACCTAATTTAACCCTTCAGTTTGTACATTGCTTACGTCACCAGGCAGTATTAATTGTGTTTTCGGACGTAGTTAGAGCTCAGGTTTTTGGTATGTTAGTTTTATTAATGCATGTTTATTATTTAAAAATAGACAATTAAAAAAACTCGAATTCTGTCCGGAAACTGGTTCCTAACCAGTACCCATAATTTGCTGTTGTTCCGGCAAATGTTTTCAAAAACCATCACTAGAAGATACTTGCTTAACTTAATGTAATGCTCGCTCTTAAATGTTTGTTTTAGTATATTTTTGACAAAATTATGATATTATCTCTTTTATAGGGCTGGCTTAACCTAGTTCAGGTTGTAACAAACTTTTCCATTTTATCTGAAGCATTACTTTACTTAATCTTAGTGATGTGTTTGTTTTCAATCCTTGTAAATTTTACATATAGGCGACAATGTGTGTTTTAATTGATCACTTTTTTTTTTTAAGCACATGTGCATAGCTTCAATAATTCTACACAATACTGCAAAGACTGCTAAGTTTGCCTTACTGGCTTAGTGAAAAACAGAAAAAATGGAATTTGTGTAAAAAATATTTTGTATATTTAGTATATGAACAGAGTGGATTTTGGGTCATTCTCCTATAATTATTGTTGAACAATATGTTAATTTGTACATGATTTAATGTATTTTATTGAAATTTGAAGGCGTTAATATAATAATAAATCATGTACATCAATATCAGTCAAATATTTGCTATGTTCATTTACAACACTGCAGCTGAACAACATTTTAAAGAAACTCAACCTAAAAGCCTAAATTCATGAAATTTTAATTTTTTACAAAAATCAGCTGGGGCATTTAAAACTGAAAGTTGTGCAAAAGAATGAAAAGTTGATTAAGAAAGAGACTTACAAATAAATTGAAAATCGTATTTGTATGCTATTTTTAGCCCAATTTTAGTGAAAAGAGTTGTAATGCTTTTCAATTTTGGGTGACTTTGGGTCATTTTTCACAATTAAAAAAAATATTTCGAAAAAATGGAGTAAGCGAATAACTTGAAATGTTGCACACAAGTTATAAATGGAGTCCCTTAAAGTGTTTTTGGTAAAAATACATGTACATGTATTAAAGGCAAACCAAATACTCACAAAAAAAAATGGTTGAATAGTAAAACTGAATGTTTCCAGGTGTGAAGAGAATTTGATTAACGGAGAGCTTAAATTCTAAAAATAGGTTAGAGTATTTTGATAAGAAACAATTATACAAACATATAAAACATAAACATATATTCATAAACATTAAGAAAACATTAGGATTGGAAATTTTGCTTAAGTTAATCCAAATTTTTGTTTTGAAAAATACATACTTGTATTAAAGTTTTAATCTGCAATAGTGAATACAGACATAATTCCTCTGACCCTGTTATAAATGTGCAAATAGAAGAGTTATTTGAACATTTCATTGATTTATAGGGTGTACGATCAGAATCAAATGGAAATCATTAATGATACTAATGGATAGGAAAATCAGGAAAACTTTATACAAGATTTAAATAATGAATTCACAGAATCGGAAATTAGTATTTCAGTTTATGTACAAAATAATTTTAAAAAATCCATGAATTGACCATCTCATGGCAGAAATATTTACATCTTCATTCAATATTATTTCATCATGTTTATTAGAAATATACATGTACTATAAAATACATATATTGCAAAACAGATATTTTCAAGAAAACTGACCATGGGACAAATCGATTTGGCTAAGGGACAGGTTCGATTTGACTGACACTCTAAACAAAGTTATTCCTCTTATATGATATAAAACAGTGATACAATTAAAATATGAACTAAGAACTAGATTAAACAAAGTAATCTAGTAAATTTCGTTTTTTATTGTTTCAGATGAGGCCACTGTCAAACATGGCCGTATAAGAAGATGATGACATAATGAATAAGAAACAAGCGACTTTGTTTCAGAGCTGGGGTAATAGAGCAGCTACCTCTGAACAAAAGCCTATCCAGCCAGCCGCTCAGGCATCAACCTCATCAGTTAATGATGATGTCATTGATTTATGTGGTAGCTTTGAAGATGATGATGACGATCTTCTGTGTGAGGCGGAGGAATCTGTATCTAATGTTAGTGGACACACAGGAGCAGTAACTTTTGCAAATAACAGCAGGGAACATGCTAATGATCAAGATCAACATGTCGGAGATGTTTCAATCGGTGCAGATGGCTTTATGCCAACCCAGGCTCAAACTCAGAACTCTAATCTTACAGGTTTTGATAAAAGTGCCGGTAAGCTGTGGATCTACCCGACAAACTATCCTGTCAGAGATTATCAGTTTGATATAGTCCAGCAGGCTTTATTTAAAAACACAATGGTTACACTTCCTACTGGGCTTGGTAAAACCTTCATTGCTGCAGTGGTGATGTATAATTTCTATCGCTGGTACCCTCAAGGGAAGGTGATATTTATGGCTCCAACAAAACCGCTTGTTGCCCAGCAGATTGAAGCATGCTACAACATCATGGGGATTCCACAGGACCATACAGCTGAAATGACAGGTACTGAGTTAGGTGAACGTTTCAATTTACAGAAATGCACACTCATGGAGAAAAAACAAGCTTGTAAACATTATAGACTTCAAAAAAAAATGTTGAATTATTTACAAAAAAACAAAAAATGCACACAAACACAAATCAAAATATTCTGAAATATATGTGCATAAGTTGTTAGGAAATATGAATTAAACTATTCAAAGTGGCAATGATGTTTTCTAAGTACATTTGTAAATACCTTTTGTTGCTTCCTTAAATCAAATGTTACAGTACCTACATGCTAAAATAAAGTATCAAAGGTATTTATTTTTGTTCCCAGGGAGTATGGGGCCATCAAAGAGGGAGAGAGCTTGGCATGACAAAAGAGTGTTTTTCCTTACACCACAAGTGTTAACAAATGACCTGAGTAGAGGATCGTGCCCCGCACATTATGTGAAATGTTTGGTCATAGATGAGGCCCACAAAGCTCTTGGTAACCATGCATACTGTCAGGTAAATGCAATATTCTACTGTCCTACTTTATTAAAATTTTACTGGTATTGCTTAAAGTAATATTTAAGACCCTACTTGTAAGGGAACATATCAATTTGTCCTTGTCCGTCCATCTTGCTGTCACATTGTCGGCTAACAAAACAGTGGCATGTGGGGTAATCTGCAGACATATTTGAAGTTGACTGTGGTCAATTGATTTTTTAATGTATTTGTTAAGTTTACTTTAACCCTTGACATTTTCACTTACCATGATGATGTTATCTACAAAGATACTAAAATTTGATATTTATTTCATTAATCTGTTGAATAAATAGAAAGTAAGCATATTCAAAGTCCCTAGTGGGATTCGAACCCACAGCTGTGAGGGACAAGTTATTTCAAGTCAATGGTCTTAAACACTAGGCCACAGACTCCCTTTACATAAAGCACTTGAATGAGTAGGGAATATTTAATTAATAGTTTGATATATCATTAACTCTTTCACTGCCATAGGGACGGCTTAAGCCGCGTATTTGCCATATGGACGGCTTTAGCCGTTTCTATAATAATCATAATAATAATAATAAATTAATAATAATAATAAAAATAATAATAAATATAAAGAAAATTACACATTGAAAATAATTATTATTATACTAGCATATTTGGAAACATATATAATTATTATAACACTAATAACAAATAATAATAATAATTATATTAATTAATAATATAGTTATTTCTTAGAAAACCCTCTGGCAAATAGGTGATCAATAAAACAATAATCCTCTGGCAGCGAAAGGGTTAATAAATTATCATTTACTGTATTCCTAGAAAAGATTTCGCGCATTTTAAGTTAGCGGTTTTCGCGGTAGGCATGATTCCGCGAATCTTTATAGCCGCGAATATGTCACTTATAACAAATCCGCGAACATTTCTAGCTTAAACCAAATATAACATAAAAAGTGCATAATATTTATTATAATCTACTTACACAAAACAACATATAAGCACAGGTGTTAGAGAAATGTGTAAAGAATTATTTATGTATGTTATTGATACTAGTTTTCACGCTGAAAAAGAAAATATCGATTATTAGTAATTAACATGCTTATTGACGTTATTTGCTAATCATGGCGTTGACAAACGCATTTACAGTTTGCGAACATTGAATGACTTGGATTTCATTTGCTTGGAGTAGGTGTAATCCTTTGTTAAAAGTAAAATAGCGATCAAGTGCTACATTGATAAACAGCTGTTATGTTGTTATAATGAAAGCTATGTACAGTCCGATAATGTGTAAAAAAATACGTATCGACATTTTGGAGATAAAGTCAGTTATGATTCAAATGAGAATAAAAGCTAACGGGTCTGACAAAATCTTACTTAATAACATAATGAAAAGTATTTTGATACATGTTGTGTACATTTTCTTACAAATGTTTCAGGTTGTAAGGGAACTGGTGAAGTACACAGAAAACTTTCGAGTTCTTTCTCTCAGTGCAACTCCTGGTAGTGATATAAAGGTATGAGTTTACATATTACATCAGTATTAAATTTATAATACCTTAAAGGAACTCAACTGAGGTCCAAAAACCTAAAAAACATAAAATTGAAATTCTTTCTTAGATCAAGGTTTGCTCTTAAAATAAAAGTTCTGTAAGAAAATAATTCAGAAACATAGAATTAAATTGAAATTATTTTTGGTCATTTTTCACAGGTAAAGTAATTGTTCTGCACACAAGTTTTTAAAACAGTGAACTGTATGTAAATGATTAATGGCCAAGCCTAGGAGCATTTAGGATTCAAAATGAAAAATACAAATTATAAAAAATTCAGTACTTGCTTGATGCTTTAGGAGTAAAAAATTTTTTTTTGGGGGGGGGGGGGGGGGTTGCAAGTTTTTTTAATGGCATTGATGGTAAAGTAACATTAAAAATTAAATACAATTAACAAAAAAAAAATGAAGCTAGGAACACTGGCTAGGAAAGTTTTCATTTCATTTTGACCCTGGGATTGTGAATTTCAAAAATTTATGGGGGGTTTTGTTGTTTCTTGTTGTTTTTTTGTGGTTTTTTTTCTGTCTTTTTTCAATTAATCAGCAAACAATTTGATGTGTAAACCGATCAAAAAGTATTTATACTTACGCATAAACATACTGCTAAAACATATATGTGTTTTAATTATTACAACAGGCATTATACTTTTACCCGCCTGAATTTGTATAATAAACTCAACTTCAACAAGACTTTTACTGAATTTAGAATAAACCTTCATTAAGATTAAGGAATTTATGTTAAAATAGTAAAATTTCAATAGCCAAAATTAAAAAAAGACAGGACAGGCTGCACTGTATGCCAGCCTGTTTCTATACTTGTTGGCATATGTCTGTAGTTATCATCTCCAGCATTTTAACGGTCAACTATGATTGGTTGTTTATTGCTTTTCTTATCTTGCAGGCTGTTCAGCAGGTTCTCAACAACCTTTTGATATCTCAAATAGAGATTCGTACAGAAGAGTCAAACGATATCAAGAAATACTCTCATGAAAGGAAGGTGGATAAAGTAGTTGTGCCCCTTGGTGATGAGCTAACTAAAGTTAAAACAAAGTACATACAGGTAATTGAAGGCATAAAAATTTTTCCTCAACATCAGTTTCAATGTTATATAAAAAACTGAAAACCAAGAGCAAATATTAATCAATAAAATTCAAATTTTAAAATTCTCTTGAGATATTGTGAAAATAAAAAAGTTCATTTGCAAATGTGTTACAAAATATGTTTCAAAATGCTAAGCAGCTAAGTTAGCAGATACATTTGAAGTTTTGATAATATCTTTTTTTCTCTCACTTTTTCCAACCAAATGTAGTGATATGTGTATTTGTTATACTGTAAAATCATTATTATTCGTGGGGCACGAATTTTCGTGGTTTTCGTGGGTAGGTCAATCCACGAATTTAAGATCTGACGAACTTTTATCCCAACAAATACTTCTTACCCAGTCTCTGTTCTATATATTACAAACATGCGTCGGCTCTTTTCCGGCCGATATTTCGTGAAATGGATGTAAGTACAGACAGATAACCAGGTTAGTGACATATTAAATTCGTTCGCAATATTTAAGAAACTTGAAAGAAAACTCGATTATATGTCGTCAAATGTCGCATATACATACTTGATCGTTGTAGTCTACTAGTAACAAGAATACTTGACATAATCGAGTAAATATGGGAACCCAGGCAGTGCAATAATTAGCGCTAATAAAAATTGTCAGTTTGCTCTTATTAATTTTAAAAAAAAGTCTTTGATAGTAATGTCGTAAGTACACAAAACTATAAAAAAAATACGATCGCTAAAACAGATTTATTGTACTTTCTTATGTCGTTTTTAAATAATCCAGTTTATATGAATTTCAATCTGTATTTGTGCGAATGCTATTCCGTAAACATCAAAGACGCCACCGCCTTTTACAAGATCCTACTCGTGTTATTTACCGAGAATAATTTATATGCATGTAAATTTACACAGTCGCTGTGACGTTGCGTGTAGTTACTGTCAAATATGTTAAGACCAATTCAGGGTGTAAACTTTTAAACTCGCTGGTTAAAACGTGCCAGGTGTCGTATAAATTATGCGATGTTTACATCGGCGAATTACAGGGGCAGTGTGTCCAATGGAGGTGCATATCATGTCACATAAATGTGTTAATTGCAGTCAATTATCGGCAGTAACTGTGCTATATTATAGTTATGCCCAGAGGCAAGGATTAAATTTATTGACAACCGCTGTGTGACAAGTAAAGATATGTACATGTTGTAAGTAAAAATATTCGGCGATTAAGTTTAAGATTACTTTGCATTAGGTTACAGTACTTAATTTTTTTTAACAAGAAAACGAAAATCCACGAATTTAAGAACCCACGAAAATGCCCGTTTTGATAAAACCACGAAATTTCATGCCCACGAATATAAGTGAATTCGCAGTAATATTTCTAAAATTTTTCAAAACAGCCCCAGGGCGCTTTTTCGAAACTCTTGAATGTGTAGTGGATATACGAGCACATATAAAACTCTTTTTAAAAGATTGCACATCCATTTGCTTTCAGCTAACAAATGTATGCTTGTTTACATCTCTGGTTTAGGTACGGGTATGCAAGCCTAGGGTCACATTCCAACAGGACAATCAAATAAAAAAGGTTAATGTCAAGGCCTGATGATAATGTTTAGTTTGATACAATTGAACAAACATTACATTAACAGTGATGAATCTGATTTCTGTTACAGATAATGGACGTAGTTGTGAATAAACTGAAGAGGTATGGTGTCCTATATAACAGAGATACAACCAGTTTGTCTAAGTTTCTCATCCTCAAAGCCAGGGAGGCATTCAGGCAAAATCCACCAGAAAAACTACAGGTACTTACTTAATCTTTCCCTGGCTTTGAATTTGAATATTTCAAAGGAGTTATTTCAGTAACAAATTTAAAATATGAGCTACCAACAGTATAGAGCCTGGAAAGATGGCAATGTGATTTATGTGAAGATTGTATTTAATTTAATTATAGTAAAAAGTGCTTGCTATGACATTGAATATGGTCACGTATAAAACATACATGTAGCAAGAATTGATGTGTACTTATGTGATAACTAAACATAAAAAGCACATAACCATTTTCATGACTAGATTCAATATAAATGTTGATCAAAATGGATATCTAACCTACCAGATTGAATGGAGACCCTTAAATAAGCAAGTGTCAAACTAAGTATTAATCACATGAAAGTTTTTTTCCTGAAATTTTCATCATATTTTTATTTCAGAGAAACCAGTATGGTATAGTGGAGGGAGACTTTGCATTAGCTATGAGTCTCTATCATGGGTTTGAGCTGCTACAGCTCCACGGGTCAAGGTCATTGTACAATTTCCTTGAAGGAATATTGACTGGAGATAAAGGATATGGCCGGACAAGAACTGAACTGACCAGAAATGCAGATTTTAATGAACTAATAGGTCTTTTATCTGGAAAATATACTGCACCAGAAAGGTGAGATTCATAAAGAATAACTGTGCGAAATATTCGTGTATTTTTAGATAACTCAATTTGGAATAGTTCTCTAGAAATCTCTGGCTCTATTTTGTGAATTGGTTGGAAATGCAAGTATAAACTGATTTTTCTTGTACAGACAAAAGTTCCTTAAATCAAATTCTTGTCTGTAAGGTTGTCATAAGATGATAGATTATTATAGTTATTGTTATTCATATTTATATATACCAGGATTTTTCTCTTAAAAAAAAAACATAACTTATATGATCTAAAATCTTAAGTATTTTCACTTATCATACCTAAAAATACTTACAGATATTAGATCATAAGAATACAAACATACATATACTGTTAATATTCAAAAGTTTATTTACAAATTTCAGAATATAAATATTATTAATTCATATTGACAAACTGTATAGATGAATGATTATTTTTTCATTTGTTAGTGAGACAGCAAGTCAGGCTAGAGCTAAGCCTTTCGTAATTGGCCATCCAAAAATGGAGAAATTGCAGAAGATTGTTTTAGATCATTTCAACACACATTCTGATGGTAAGATAGTTATACTTCTTATAGTTTTAATATTATTTTTTTAAAAGAAGCTTTTCAGCTTATTTGAACAACTCTGTGACTGTGTGTCTTTGAAGAAAACTAACCAGAACAAAAGTCATATGAGGAACCACTAGCTGGAACCCGTGTGTTGAGAGCAGAGATCTTTATCACTAGGTCACTCCTCCAAGTTTTTTCTTTGGGCTGTTATGTAATATAGATCATATCATCAGATGATAATTTTGTTAAGACACTGTCAAGGGCTCATGTAATTAACTTTGCATTTAGAGCCATTGTATAAAAGACATTTTACCAGCTGGTCTCTTTTAGAGATGGAGTGGCAGATTTATTGAAACATATAAATAAGATAGTGTATGGTATATCTTTTATAAAGGTATGGTTTAATTTGCTTAAAAGTTGTCTCATGTGAGGGCCGCAAAACCATCTCATATTTTATATGCTAAGGTTTGTCCTCATTATGATTATTGATGCTCTATAGCTGAATAATGTAACTTTTACTTATATGATGTTGTCCTACAATGGAAAACTAAGTCTACACAGTTTGCTCAATATGGAGTACATCAGATTAGTTGTACTTGGGTGAAGCATTATTTCTGCTCAGACATTGAGTCTACTGGGCATTGATTCTCACAGCTAATTTACTTGTGTAAAATTGGTAATTACTGGTTAGTTATCCAGGAAGGCTGGTTATGTGGATTGACCCAGACCGCTGCGATATAACCAAAAACCTGAATCAGAATCGGCCTAAAAATAGAAGAAAATAAAAATAAAAGTGATATTACTAAAAGGTTGTTTATATACATGTATATATTCAGCCGGTACAAGAGTGATGATATTCTCACAGTATCGTGACAGTGTACAGGAGATTACAGACATGCTACATGTACATCAACCCATCATTAAAGTTATGAGCTTCATAGGCCAGGCCACTGCTGGAAAATCTACGAAAGGCTTTACACAGAAAGAACAACTAAAGGTTTGAACTTTAATGACTTCATATATAAATTAATTGGGCATCAACATAACTGACTGATTTAATCAGTCAAAGGAAGTTATTTTCATTCTTATAAGCATTGTACGTAGTGACAATATATAAGGTTTTTAGATCTACCTACTTTTTCTTGCCTAGATAGGTCCAAGTGGTTTATGTTGCTGACAAGTAATTTAAGGATTGCTGACTGTGTGGGTTTAGACCGCATCAGAGGTTCTGTTGTTTCCTTGTGAAAGAAACTTTACACTCATTTAGTGCCAGCTTATTAGCTTAGATGTTCTATATGAACTGGGGTTGCTGACTTTAAATCCCTTGCACTTCACCATTGATGATGGAAATTCTGTGAGGAACTACATCAACTGGACTTCTAAGATTTTTTGGTTTCAGCATATTTTCACTGTTCTAGCAAAAATTGTAGTTGTTTTGTTTTTGTGCATGTAATTTTTGCCACGAAAATATGACAATTTCATCAAAGTCATATTGCATCTAACTTTATATATCAAATGTGTCTTCATGTAGACAGGTGTATGCCTGTTTTCTAGATTTTTCTGAAATTCTAGTGCAGGAACAACATTAAATTCTAAAACAAAAGGATGAAATGCATATACATATGCATGTACTATTAAACACACTAGAACTTAATGAACCTTTTAAATGTTTACAGTTTTAACTGTTATGTCATTTTGGTTGACTGGCTATCTAGTTGATACACTGAGATAATACAAAATCACTGGTTAACCTGGTTTACACAAAGATACAAATGGGCCTGTTAATGATAATTGTTTGTGAAAAATTGACCTACAGTCTGAAGCAATAAATAGAAAAGGTGGGGCTAATTTTTTCACCTCAGAAAATGAAGTCCTATGTAAATGTCCTCTGAAGTCAGTTATACAAGCTGTGTGTTATGGAAGAGTGATAATAAAGGTTTGATTACAATAATTTATGTATGTTTGAAATATATTACAGGGTTGTGTATGATATTTTATATTTTGATCCCTGTTTGTTCATAGGTAATGAAACAATTTAGAGAGGGTGGCTACAACACGTTAGTATCAACATGTGTAGGTGAAGAAGGTTTAGACATTGGTGATGTGGACCTTATCATTTGTTTTGATGCTCACAAGAGTCCTATACGACTGGTACAGAGGATGGGTCGTACTGGACGTAAACGAGAGGGAAGGATTGTGATGCTGGTGACTCAGGGAAAAGAAGAACAGGTACGCAGAATCTTTGATGCTTTCTGATAACATATTGTAACTTAGTTCCTTAACATTAGCTAGGCAGCTAGATAAATCAGAATTCTTGTATTTACTTATGCTAAAACTTCGGACAGAGAAAATGCATTTAGGGTTATCAGAGACCAAAAATTCAACTCATCCGCTCATACTTTTAAGTAGAATTTTAGAGAACATCGATGCATGACAAGTAAAATAATGTTCCCTGTATATTTGATTTAGAAGCTACTGGTCCTGCAGAACCAGTGATTCTGAAAATATGTTTGATACCTGGTTATCATTGTTTTCATATGCAAGTCTAGATCGTATGTTGCCTTGAGATACAATTAGCGTCACATAGGAAGATTTCATATATCATGCTTTACATTTTTCACAAAATGCAAAATAAAATTTAGAATCATTGTTGGCTACCATAAGTCAGTTGATCTCTTTTAGGAAATAAGAAAGAAATTCAAATCTTTTTTGATAATTTGTTGTATGAAACACGAAGATGTGTTTGGTAAATGCATGTAGATTGAAAATGTACTATATTTATATAATACAGCAAATGGAGATTGATGAAATGTCAGTCATTTGTTAAGTCTCATTTTAACCCAAATTTCAGATATACAATCAGAGTCAATACTCAAAGAAAAGTATACACAAAGCAATTCTGAACGGAGCCAAATCATTGCACTTCTATCAACACAGTCCTCGTATGTTGCCTGAAAACTCTGTGCCAACTTGTCACAAGATGCATATCACAGTGAAAGAGAACTTTAAACCCACAAGAAAAATCTCAACAGATAAGGAAGCCAACCAGAGTAAAATAACCACAATGATGACTGATGGTAATGGTTTTAACTTTGATATAAATAAATTTCCCTATGTGTTTTTATTAGCTCACCAGAGCACTTTCCAGAACTCAAAATGCTCGTAGGTGAACTTTTAGCATGACAATATCTCTGTCCTCTGTTGTTCATTGTTGTCAACAATTTCTTTAATCAAATTCTATTCCTTAAATACACTGTAGCCTTGATATATTGCTCTCCGTTATAATGCTAATCTAAGTATAGTGCTCATAGACCTTGGCTGCTCCCAAAAAAAAAAAAAAAAAAAAAAGTAAATGTAGATTTATAATGCTTGTTCAATTTGACAGTCAAGTACAATAAACAATTGTAATTAGGACATTTATGAGCGCCAAAGGTGTGAACAACATGCACAGGTTAGCTTTTATCCGCTCTTTTGTTGTTTTACCTGTCCATCAGTCAGGCATCAAATTGTTTCCAAAATCTCAAATTCATATCATAACTGTGACATGGGCAACTGGTTGTAAGTATAAATAAACTAAAATTCACACACATATCTGTGACATGTAAACCTCGCTGAATTAAATAACCCACACAAGCCCAAAATCAATTTAAAATCCTGCACTGTAAAAAGAATGGCCGAGACAGGAAGTAAATGGCGTTTGATTAACTAAGGGACACAACTAAAGCTGGACTGTAAATTACAGTGTAATGGCTAACTGTTTACACTACATTCTTGATTTATGTTTTTCTTTCAAAAGTTTTTTGTTTCTTTTAAATATAATTAGTATTATTTGTGAATATAATATATGTTTACATCATTGAATTGTTTTAGAAAAGGATAATGTCGATATTCATTGAATAGTAAGTATAAATCGTGAGCATTATATATATAGGCGGTGGATGGGGTAATGCCGTAATTTTGCAATGAGCGTTCTAATGAGAGCCCCGTTAGAACGCGGTGTTGAGACATTGGACCCCAACATGAGCGGTATAATGAGGCTGCAGTGTACTTGGTGGATTTTGACCAAACTTCACAGGAATGATCCTTAGGTGGCCCTAAATAAAAGTTAAATTGTTGTAATCTGATGCATAAATAGGTCACAGGACTTGAAAGACTTGAAAAATATCAGATATAAAGTGTACATTGCCGCCTTCTTTAGACCACTAACTTGGATATGTAGAAACAATTCAGCTAGTGAATGGAAACTCTACTCATCAATAGAGACAACATCGATGTATTGTTGATATTTATATCAATAATCGATGCACATTTGAAAAAATAGATTATTTTGATAATTTATTTAAATGTCTGGAAATTATGAAACTTCACTAAAACCATATACAAAAGCAGGTGGCAATGTTTAACACTAATCTGTTGTTACATAATTAACACATTTCATAGAAGTGGTGACAAAATATGATCAGAAAAAAATCATGCAAAGGTCATTTAGAAACTGGAGATATTTTCATGAACAGAACATTTATTTTACTAAAATCATTTAAAGAGGTATGAAAACGTATTATATACAAGAAATTAGAAGTATTTATCGACATATCAGTGTATCATCGATATTTGTCTTACAATATCGGTATATCGTCAATATGCTTTGGACTGAATCAATGACAGCTCTCACTTCTATATACATACATAGGTGTTGTGATTGTAATAGTGCTTTCTTGTTTGGTACAATATTTTGTTAATTATGAATTTCAATATTTTAAACCAGTTTGTCTCCCTTTTATTTGAATGACAAGTCATCTATTGTTACACCAATATTAATTAAATAATAATTAATGATTGTGTATAAAACTCAAGGTCAGATGCATGGCATACATGAATTTCTTAACGGAATAAGGGCAATTTAAGAAAATTTAATTCGATTTGTTTAGGTTCCATGATTGAAAATTACAGTGTTTAATTTATCAACTAAGTTATTTTCTAAAATTTTGACATTTAGCTGCTTCAAAGAAGGATCAGTCAGAAGAGATAATTACACTAGAAGAGTACAGGGAGCTTGAACCATGGCTGATACCTGATGAGGAAATACCTAAACTACCAACTTCCAGTATAACTTGTTTGGAGCAAGAAGATACCAATGAAGAGCAGGTCGGTAATTATTTAGTTAAAATGACATACTTTTATCATTATCATGGTTGAAGTCATTTTATCTTGTGCTCATATATCTATGTGAGTGTCTGTAAAGTTGATTATAATGTAATTTTTAAAATCAAACTTAAATTATGTAACGTTCTGGGGTGACTGTGTCCAAGTGCCTAGTTGTTCAGGTTGTTATTATGCCCCCGCCATGTAATGGCCGGGGCATATAGTGTTACCCTGTTCCGTCCTTCCGTCATTCCGTCCTTCCGTCATTCCGTCATTCTGTCAAAGGTCAAGGTCACAGGGGCCTTGACTTCAAAAAGCTTGTCCGCCCAATAACTTAAGATTCCTTTGACCCACAGTTTTCATATTTGGCATGGAGGTAAGTCATGATTAGTAGATGACCCCTATTGATTTTGAGGTCACCAGGTCAAAGGTCAAGGTCACAGGGGCCTTGACTTCAAAAAGTTTGTCCGCCCAATAACTTAAGATTCCTTTGACCCACAGTCTTTATATTTGGCATGGAGGTTAGTCATGATTAGTAGATGACCTCTATTGACTTTGAGGTCACCAGGTCAAAAGGTCAAGGTCACAGGGACTTTGACTTCAAAAAGCTTGTCCGCCCTATAACTTAAGATTCCTTTGACCCACAGTCTTCATATTTGGCATGGATGTTGATCATGATTAGTAGATGACCCCTATTGATTTTGAGGTCACCAGGTCAAAGGTCAAGGTCACAGGGACTTTGACTTCAAAAAGTTTGTCCAACCATTAACTTTAGATTCCTTTGACTCACAGTCTTCATATTTGTCATGGATGTTGATCATGATTAGTAGATGACCCCTTTTGATTTTGAGGTCACTGGATCAAAGGTCAAGGTCACAGGGACTTTGACTTCAAAAAGTTTGTCCACCCATTAACTTAAGATTCCTTTGACCCACAGTCTTCATATTTGGCATGGATGTTGATCATGACTATAAGGTGACCCCTATTGATTTTGAGGTCACTGGGTCAAAGGTCAAGGTCACAGGGACCTTGACAAAAAAAAGCTTTTCTTCTCAATTGCATAAGAATGTCCTGTCCGCAATGTATTGATTTTGACATTTTCACATTTGAAGCATGTAGAATACATAACTTAGCAATGCACTGGCTTAATAACCTCAGATTTGGCAGGGATGTTGTCCTTGAGCTCTAAATGGCCACTGTTGATTCTGACAAAGTGGTATGCGGGGGTATTCACGCCATGATAGTGGCAGTTCTAGTTTTTCTTGCATATAACATTAATCATACTTTGATAAGATATTAGGAAAACAAGCATTTTCATTTAGCACTTTTTTCTTATAGAAGTATATGAATTTACAGCTTCATACATAATAGCAAAATGATGTCATTCTAAGAACGGTGGGGGTGTAAGACAGGTTTTTTAGCACCAATGTAAACTGTAGAAAATTCTGTATGATATGCAAAAAAAACCATGTATGTTTAGAAGTCCACATGACTGCCATTGATGTACTTATTATTCTGAGATACTAATTGTTAAACAGAATTAAGAAAATTTCAGATACTTACCTCAGTAAAAGCTTCAAGAAAATTTTAGGTACTGACTGAATACTGATAACTTTAAGCAAATTCAATTCATATATTTTTTCAGCAAGAAAATGGAAGATTTTTATCTCTATCAGAATGGACTCCATGGCAGAATACTCTTCAAGACACGAAACTTGTAGACCATAGTCTTGGTTCTAAACATCTTGTACAAATTATGGAGTTTATACAGCTTCAGCGTATGTATTTTGTGAAATATGTATTTTGCGTTAAGCCTTATGTCTTCAGTTGTTAGTCCCCTACCGGTTTACCGGAGGGGACTTTAGGTTTACCCTCCGTCCGTCTGTCTGTCCGTCCGTCAGTCCGTCCGTCCACAAAACTGGATCCCGCGATAACACAAAAAGTACTGAAAATATTTTAATGAAACTTGATATATGGATAGATGGCAGTATGGAGATTATGCACGTCTTTTTCTTTTCTTCCTATGTTGAAAATTCTGGTTGCTATGGCAACAAATAGACTGAAAATATGGCAAATTTTACACATAACCTGGATCCCGCGATAACGCAAAAAGTACTGAAAATATTTTTATGAAACTTGATATATGGATAGATGGCAGTATGGAGATTATGCACGTCTTTTTCTTTTCTTCCTAAAGAAGAAGTGGAAAATTCTGGTTGCTATGGCAACAAATAGACTGAAAATATGGCAAATTTTACACATAACCTGGATCCCGCAATAACGCTAAAAGTACTGAAAATATTTTTATGAAACTTGATATATGGATAGATGGCAGTATGGAGATTATGCACGTCTTTTTCTTTTCTTCCTATGTTGAAAATTCTGGTTGCTATGGCAACAAATAGACTGAAAATATGGCAAATTTTACACATAACCTGGATCCAGTGATAACACAAAAAGTACTGAAAATATGTTTATGAAACTTGACATATGGGTAGATGGCAGTATGGAAATTATGCACATCCTTTTCTTATCTTCCTATGTTGAAAATTCTGGTTGCTATGGCAACAAATAGACTGAATTTCAAGATTTCTGATTCTAGTTTTTAAGTTTTTTCACTATAAGTTCTTTATTTCTTAAGGTATTTTCTTCAAACTTTAAATATAAGTTGCTTATAATCAACCACATCATATGTGACAAGGTTTACAACTCTAGCACAAAATTTATCAGAATTACCTCCCTTGAACTTAAAATTTTCATGAAAACTCCAACTTCTCCAATTGTGATAGGATTTTAAAAATGTTATATTTTGATAACAGGGATGTTAAAAAAATAACTTTAGAGTGTCCTTCAGTCCGTCTGTCTGTACATAAAAACTGTTTCCTGTGATCACTTTTAAAGAACTTTTTCAACAAATTTACTTAAAATAGGAACATAAGTGAATGGCCAATGGCCCTTCAGAATGTTGCTTGGGCTCTTACCGGTAGGGGACTTATGGATTGCTTGCAATACTATGATAATTGCTTGTTGTGTTAATAATAACCAGTACTCGGTGGGGGATATAAATTCAACGAATTTGCTTATTTTACTTGGAAAGTTGTATACAAGATTTCTATTTTCTTTCTTTTTCTAAATGGCACTAACAATCTTAACAGCTGATGGTGGTGTAGGTGTTGGTAGTTTACCGTTGCAATTACGGCAGTTAGGCACTTTGAACTTATATATGAGTTATACATTGTTGAGTACAATACTGAATTCTTTTGAGCAAGTACACATATCAAGTCAAACCTATAACAGTCAAACCTGTTTAAAGACCATCTGCACATAAAGATCAACCTGAAAATAGAAGCCACTCTTCGACAACTCTTCATTGAATATGAAGATAAATTTAATCCTTCAAACAAAGACCACTTGTCTATAGAGGACATGTTTGTTTTCCCCCTTTGATGACCTTTGTTCGCAGGTTTTACTGTATGATTTGTAGGTGTGTGCTAGTCTGTCCAATAGAATCAGTATTATATGTATAATGGAGTCTTTATTTCGCACCACAATTTAAGAAATTTTGACAGAACTTTGTAACTACAAGTCAGATATAGATTTACTATGTCTTTTTGGGGTGGTTTGGCAATAAAAACGTGGCTAGATGAAATACAGTATGGATTTTTAGACTCATGAAATGAAAATGAGGCTAAATTGATAAGGTTTTTCTAATAATAATGTCTATTGAAACATCACCTGGTACAAATGCTGGAAGTTTATTGTTTACATTGTATAAGGTGTGGCATAAAGTGATGTATTCTTTATCATTATGATTTTTAAAAATGTTGTTTATTACAAGGGACATTTTTAGCTCGA